AAGCTGTGCACATGTTGATTGGGGAAGTTCTCAGTTCTCTCGTAGTAACAATCCTTTATCCCAAGTTCACTTTTTTCAGTTGTGTGGCTATTAAGCATGGATACTTCTAAGTTAGATCATGAATAACAAAATCAACCCTAAAAATGGCGTTTAAACCGAAATGGTTTTAATTTYATCTTTGGATGACTCAATAAGTGATGAATTCKATGGAGCTATTTTGCCAAAAAAAGCTTATTTTATCTAGAAAGTGTATTTTATATACTGATTGAAGTTTGTGCTGTTTCACAACTTAGTCAAGCTAGACAAAGATTGTTAGAATTGATTTAAATTAAAGTAAGCACTGTAACATTGATAACGAGGCAGAGAATGAAGATGATATGGTCGGTTGCATTATTCATGAGGCTTTACTTTAAATCCAACGCTCTTGGATCGTTGGGCGTGGYTTTTAATCCAARATTCAATTCACACATTTTTATGAAAGCTAGTTWGATATAATAGAGTGGAGTGTAAACATGAGTGATATAAAATAGCTCTTAGGATTATTTAATATTTTAGCAAGAAAATAAATTGGATTATGAACATTCTATTTTAGTCTAGAATGGATCCTTTTAGTAATAGGTGCAAAAAAAGAAAATCCAGCACGACAGGTTCTTTGAAACTTTAGTTTCTTAGATAAAGGTGGTTTTCATTTTAYTTGCATACAGACTACAACATTGAGGTAGCTATATGTACATGAACTTCCCATATATACTTTTAATACTGCTATGACAAAATAGCTCAAAATAGCCGTTCATCGCTTGTGTTTCTCTATGACTGTTTAACTGATTCATGTCCATTCAAACCTTCTTCTTGTATCATACCCTAGCCCTTTATTATTTACAGATTGGAGTATTTTTTAGTTATTTATTTACCATCTGTGCTTAAAATAGCTCTGAGCTTGAAAAGAACCGGGCGATGTGATTGAGTATATGTTTATATAAATTATTAGTTGTTTTGTATAACCTGATATTCGGTTCAGTACACGATAACAGCAAAGATCTATTCTTAGCAACAAGCAAAGTACATTGAATATAATAGATTGGTTAAAAGATGATTAAAAGTTAGGATATGATATCAATCTCACCGCGTTGCGTGCAGCCACGTTGAATGAGGTTATCATGACTAAGCCCTAATAATCGCGAATTAACTTGAGGGTCAACAACCTGGCAAAATCTAACTCTCAATAAACAGTTCTAGACTTTAGATCTAGACAAAGAAGAAATGTTCTTTTTTAGATTTGAAGCTCGAGAAATGATGCAAGAATGGCAACCTACAAAGCTAAACTGACAGAAAGAGTGATAGACATGTACAAAAACTGCGAAAATGTAAAAATCATCACCACAAACAGTGTTAAATGCAAGCTATTGATCAAAGCTGGAAATGATTAAAATTATATCCCAGAGCTTTCTCCTTCATACATGAAGAAAAACTTAGTTAGTTTCAAGTTTGTTGAGAAAAGAAAAGGCTCCGTCCTTTGTGAGGCACACCAGTCGCGTACCACTTTGGTTGTTGCATAAGAGTTCCTTTACGACTGTTTTAGCAGGTTGTGCAGTTATTGCAAAGAATGCTGTCCGTAAAGTATGCTCAAAAGACATGTCAATTAATCACTGACACGATATCTTTACATCAACTCCTCATTTAAGTCATCAGGAATTGGCAGATTAGCCTAATGATACAGGACCATCCCTCACGCGTAGAATAAATGAATGTCTTCAATGTAAAACAACGAAAAAGCTCAAGCCAACGTGCCCTAGTTTGCTAATTCTATTTTGAAGGCGAGCGCCTTGCATATTGAACGTAGTCAAGGGGATTCTTTGAAAGATTTGTAGTATTTAGTTTATCGCTGTGATTTTAATTAATAGACCAGTAGGCAAATAAAGGCCAGATCGACGATATCAGCCCGATAACCGTATTTAATTATAGCGGACACATCAAAGAATAGCA